CGCGGCATCAGGTACAGAACCCTCCTCTGTATGAGGTACCGACCCCATCCCCTTCATCCGGTACCGAACCCTCTTCTGTATGAGGTACCGACCCCATCCCTTCATCTGGTACCGGACCATCCCTTCATCCGGTACCGAACCCTCCTCCGTATCAGGTACCGACCCCATCCCTTCATCCGGTACCGAACCCTCCTCTGTATCAGGTACCCTGCGTCCGGTACCGACCCCATCCCTGCGTCCGGTACCGACCCCATCCCTGCATCCGTTGCCGACCCTTTCCCCGCATCAGGTACCGAACCCTCCTCTGCATCAGTTACCGTTCCCTTCCCTGCATCCTGTCCCGACCCTTCCCCCGCATCCGGTACCGACCCCCATCCCTGCATCCGGTACCGAACCCTCATCCGGTACCGACCCTTCCCCTGCGTCCCCCTTCCCCCCTGCGGGATGGCCGCTCCCCCCCGGGATCGGGCACTGATCCGCACCTCGGGCTACCCGAGCCCGGCCTTGGCCATTGGGGCTCCAGGGATTCCTGCTGCTGGCAGGAATGGCCCCAGGGAGACAGCCGAGCGTCCGTGGAACAGAAATGTATATGTGTGTCTCATAGTCGGGTGTTTATTTCCGTGTATGTTTCTGTGGATATTTCTGCGTTGCTTTAAAAATAACCCAGCTGCTACGTGTGCGAGCATCTTGAGCCTGTCAAATGAGTCATGGGGCTGCTGAGCTCGTTAGTTTTTGCAGCCCCTCTGCAGATGCTTACCCAAGACCACGGGAATAATGTGCATGTTACAGCTTCAGGCCTTGGTTTTGCAGCCGAATATTTTGGGGAACCCCTTTGCAGAGCCAGAGAGAATGATGAGGTGTCTGTGCTGTCATCTGGTTTAAAAAATATATATATAATCTGAAGTTTAGTGGCTCAAATGAGGATAAACCCAGTGTTTTTCTTGCCATACTGCCTTTCACTAAGAATTTCAAGATGGTTTCAAGCATGAATTAAGACCTTTTAACACCAAGGCTCCATTTCAGCATATCACTGGAGCATATGTTCATTTTTAGCATATAGGCATGCATGCTTCTCTTTCCAGCTGACTTCAGGAAGGTATAAAATGTGCTTAGTTTCAGGCAGATGGTTAATATTTTCCTGAATTCAAGCCAATTTGCAAAGCTGCTGAAGTATATTTGTTAATTAGGAAATACAAGCAAAGATATTAAATTGCAGTATTTGCTTGCAACTCCTTTAAGATGTAGGACAAGTAACTAGATTTGATAGAAAATGAACAGAGTCTTAAATTTTTTTCTTTATACACTCTTAAAATGCCTTGATTTGCTCTTCAGGTCTTTTTTGTGTGGGTTTGGGTTTGTTTTTATTATTATTTTCCAAACATTAAAACTGTAGCATTTTGAAGAAGGGAAGAAGGGCATTTGGGCATTTGATGAACATCTTGGTCCTTGTTTTTTTTTTTTTTTTTTTTTTT